CAGTAGCAGTCTGCTTTACAGTGAGTTAGGAGATAACAGTCTGATGAAGATGATGCTCAGGTTGTCTGTAATGTTCTGCATGTTATGAAGAAGCTTCCTCTGTCCAGTCATCTCCAGAGGTTCCAGACTCCCCAGAACAGAACCTGCCTGTTTATGTCCCTCACTCTGATGATGCTATCTCGACAGATGATACGGCAGCAGCAGCTACAGATGATTTGCAGCATCTCGCTGCAAACACTGAAGGACCAAAGCTTGAATGTAAAATGGATGGCAAGCAAAGGTTTTAATTTCATGGGGAGGAACTGAATTCTTCAAGTTAAAAAAGTGTCAATGTCAAATGTATTTAAAAACTACAAAGTGCTTCACAAAGGGTAAAAGCAACAACATTAAAAACAATAATGAAATCAAAAAATAGGATAAACTTAACAGGACAGTGCAAGCAAACAGATCTGATAGAACTCAAACAGAAACCAAAGAAATGAGTTTGCAGGAGAGATTTAAAAAAAACTGTACAGTCTTTGCAGCACAAATATGAAGGAGCTGGTTCCAGAGTCGTGTTTCTGCAATGGTCAAAGCCTCGATCTCTACTGGGTTTTAATCTGGTCATCAGCTGCTCTAGGAGTACCTCAGAGACTTTTTGGATTGTAAAAGTTAAGGAGAACAGCTGGATAATTAGATGCCAAACTTTTACGAGTAAGTAACACTAACATCAATACAAAAATGAACAGGCAGCCAATGTAAATCCTTTAAACTGGAGTGAGGAGGTCATGCCTTCTGGTACCTGTTAAAAGACGAGCAGCAGTGTTTTGGACTAACTGCAAGTGATGAATTGATGATTAAGTGATTAATTGATCGATTCCACAATATAAAGGATTGCAGTAATCTAATCTGCAGGTAATAAATGCAAGAACTATAGTTATCAGCCTTTTAGGAAGAATGTAGGATTTGGCAGTTTGGTATAACTGATAAAACCAAGTCGACATTTGTTTCTCAAGTTAAACAGAACTGTCTAAAAACACTCTGAGATTCCTCCCTTTCTTGCGCCTGTAGAGGCTTCGTACAACATTCTCACAAACACACAGCTATGCTCACCAATTCTGTAGATGAGCACCCTGCTGCCAGCGTGGTCCCGCTGTGGGAGAACAGCATGGTATGATGTCTTGAGGAGACCGAACACAGATGAAGGAGACAGGCATGTGCTGATCTCAGGACTCTCCCTCCTCCAGTGCAGGTAATTCAGCAAGAGCTGGAAACACATGTGGAAGAACTCTTACAGCTTGCTCTCCTATACATGAGCTTTGCATTTGACTAGACAATCAAATTGATACACCGTCCGTAGACCCCTGCCTATTCAATATTCACAGAAGGTTCTGTGGAATGTACTGAATTCAGAGGAATGGATGTAAGGCACATAGTAGATGTTAGCTTCTGTGCAGAACTAAGACAATTTCCACTGTACGGAGCCCCCCAGGGGACATGGGGAATTTTTTTTTCTTTTGCGTTGCGAGGGAACGCAAAAGAAAAAAAAAATTCCCCATGCCCCCTGGGGGGCTCAGTACCGTACCACTGAGCACTTTAATGAATATTAACCAAAAATATAGATATATTTCTTTGGAACTTAATGTGAAAGACCAACACAATATGATAAACAATTGTGCAGTAGAAACTGCTGAAAAAAATAAAGGGAACACTCAAATAACACATCCTAGATCTGAATGAATGACATATTCTCATTG